AGAGGGGGAGGAGAACCTCCCTTGACCTACTAACCACACCCTTTCTAATGCACCCCAGGATGCCATTGGCCTTCTTGGCCACAAGGGCACATTGCTGGCTCATGGTCATCCTTCTGTCCACCAGGACCCCCGGGTCCCTGTCTCCTACCCTGTTCTCCAGCAGGTCAGCCCCCAACCTGTACTGGTACATGGGGTTGTTCTTCCCCAGATGCAAGACTCTACACTTGCCTGTGTTAAATTTCATCGAGTTTCGCTCTGCCCAACTCTCCAGGCTGTCCAGGTCTTGCTGAATGGCAGCACAGCCTTCTGGTGTGTCAGCCACTCCTCCCAGTTTAGTGTCAATCCCACTGTCCATGTGGCCAACAAAGATGCTAAATTGTACCAGTCCCCAGTACTGACTCTTGGGGAACACTACTCATCACAGGTATCCATCTGGACATTGAGCTGCTGATGATCACTCTTCGAGTGCAACCATCCAGCCAGCTCCTTATCCAATGAGTGGTCCATCCATCAGATCTTTATTGTTCCAGTTTTGATACCAGGGTGTGGTGCAGGACAGTGTTGAAGGCTTTGCTGTGGTCCAGGTAGATGACACGTGTTGCTCTTTCTTTGTCCACTGAAGCTGTAACCCCATTGTAGAAGGCCACCAAATTAGTCAGGCAGGATTTGTCCTTGCGGAAGCCATATTTGCTGTCACCAATCACCCTTTGTTTTCCATGTGCCTTAGCAGAGCCTTCAGGAGGATATGCTTCATGATCTTGCTGGGTACAGAGGAGATACTGACTCGTCAGTTGTTCTCTGGGTCTTCTTTTTTTCCCTTCTGGAAAATTAGAGTTATGTTTCCCCTTTTCCAGCCAGTGGGTATTTCTCCAGACTGCCAAGACTTTTCAAATACAATGGACAGAGGCTTTGCAACTTCATTGGCCAGTTCCTTTAGGAGGCCTGGATGAATTCCATCAGGTCCCATGGAACTTGTGCACCTTCAGGTACATCAGACAGTCACAAACCTGCTCTTCTTCTACACTGGGGAGATTTTCCTTTTCCCAGTCGATGCCTTTGCCTTCTCTAGCTTGGATGGTGTGACCAGAGCCCCTGCTGGTGAAGACTGAGGAAAAGTAGTCATTGAGTACCTCAGCCTTCTTTATGTCCTGCATGGCCAGGTCCAAGAGTTTCCTTCTGAACTGGAGCCACGTTTTCCCTCATCATCCTCTTACTGCTAACATACCTGTAGATACTTTTCTTGTTCCTTCATTGGAAGGATTCATGAGAACAGTGCCTGTCCTCCCAAGCCCTTCAACTGCAGCTCCCAGTGCTCTGTAAAGTCCTTCCTAATAGTCTAGACATAGATTTAACAATCCTTTCACTGAAATGGAAACTTCATCCTGGTGACATCCTTAAGGTTTTCTAGTTGTTAGTGATCTCAGCAGCCTATTTTGCAGTTCACTTACATCTAGTTGTGCATTTATGTACATGCATGCTTACATGCACCACAAGGGAGTTTTAGAATGGTATCACTTAAAACAAGAGGAATAGCAATTATTCATTTTCAAGGTAATACTGACAAAAGGATATTCAGTTGTTTTATGTTGGAAGATAGAATAAAGTGTCCACTGCTTTGTCAAAGATATGTTTCTTCTCTTTTTGCATTCAGCCTGCATTAGCACATATCCAGTTTTGCTGCCCTGGGAAAATCCTCACTGAAAGATACTGCAGAAATGCATGAAGGCATAAAGAGTGCCGAGATGCTGGAAGGTGTACTGTGTGCCCTGGCAGCTCAGTGAGCCAACTGTGCAGCAGAGGTAACTGGTTGAGGGAGGTGATTGTCCCACTCTACATCACACTGGTGTGGCCCCACTGCAAGTCCTGTGTGCAGTTCTAGGTGCTTCAATGTAATAAAGACATAGAAAGTGTGTGTGGGAAGGTGCATAGCAGAGGAGGAGGTGCTCACCGGTCTCTGGCAACCAGCAATAGGAGCAAAGGAAATGGAATGAAGCTGTTTCAGGGAAAGTTTAGACTGGACATTAGGAAAAGGTTCTTCAAGGAGTGGGTGGCCAGTCTTCGGAACCAGCTCCCCAGAGAAGGGGCCATGGCACCAAGACTGTCAAAGAGTTCAAA